CCAAATCAGCATCAACACGAATGCGTCCATGTACTCGCATGCCGTCAGCGCCGTGTCTGAACATCATGGTGTCAGCGAACAAGCAGCTCGCGTCCCACAGGCAGCGTTTTTGATCGCCTACGGTATCGGTTGCGAACTTTGGGCTCCCTGGTCAGAAGAGTATGGACGATGGCCCATCCAGCAACTCAGTCTGTTCCTTGTCAACCTCTGGCAAATACCAGCCGCTTTGTCGAAGAACTATGCGACATATGTGGTGGTCCGGACGCTTGGAGGCTTATCAACGGCTGGCGGCTCGGTCACGCTTGGTGTACTCGCCGACATGTGGGAGCCGGATGAACAAGAGTTTGCTGTCGCATTCCTAGTGCTATCATCTGTGGGCGGGTCCGTTGTTGGTGCGATCATCGGAGCGTTCGTAGAAAGGTGAGTAAATCATTAACAAGTTTTGTTGACAGTTATTGACTTAGCTCTCTAGGTACAAGTCGGTCGAGTGGATATTCTGGGTCCAGCTCATCATCGGAGGCTTCGTCCAGCTCGTTCACTTTGTCTGCAACCCCGAGACTCGCTCGACAATCCTATTGGACCGTGAGGCGAAGAGACGACGTAAGACAGGTGAAGACCCGAATATCTATGGCCCAAATGAGATCCGAGGTGGCCATAAGATGAGCTTCAAAGAGGTCGGCACTATCTTCTGGAGGTATGTAACGGCTTCAAGACTTGATGGCTTCGATGCTAATGATAAGATAGACCTTTCTACATGTTCTTTACCGAACCAATCGTCCTATGGCTCTCCCTCCTCAGTGGTTTCAGCGACGCCCTGATCTTCACATTCTTGGAGTCTTTCGGTCCCGTCTATGAACAATGGGGCTTTGGCGTCGTTGGCGCAGGTCTAGCTTTCCTTCCCATCTTGATCAGTTACTTCCTGGCTTACGCTTCATACATGCCGTCGATCATCAGTTTCCGGAAGAAACGACGACAGAATCCAGGATCAGTCGAACCGGAGGCTCGACTTTGGTGGTTACTGTTCCTCGCTCCGCTGGAGACTATCGGCTTGTTTGGGTTTGCGTGGACATCACTTGGCCCAGACTATGGCATTCCTTGGATCGCGCCGATGATCTTCTCGGCAATGGTTGGCATGGCGAACGTAAGTTTTGGAGCCTTTCATGGAGTGCTCGGTGTTCAGTGGCTAATACTTCCCAGTATGCAATCTACCAGTCTTCAATCGATTACCAAACCGCTGCATACGGCCCCTACGCTTCCTCCGCAACCGGTGGCAACGACCTCGCTCGTGATGCCCTGGCTGGTATCGCTTCTCTATACTCAACACCGCTTTACTCGAACATTCCCGGCCGGCCGTTGCAATACGCTTCCACTATCCTAGCGTGCCTTGCTTTTCTGGTTACCCTACCCATCTACATTGTCTACTGGAAGGGTCCACAGATCAGGGCCAACTCGAAGTTTGCGCAAAGTCTCGACCAAAGCCGGCAACAGAGAGACGAGAAGAGGAGGAAGAGTGTTCATCCGGGTGTAGAGGGGCCGCTGGGGGAGAAGGAGCAGAAGGTTCATCGAGAGAATGCGTAGATGTGGGAACCGGCGAAGATCGGATGGCTGCGAGCCAAGTGATTTGGCTGATGCTCTTGCTTCATATGACCTGCTAGTATTCTCGATAGAAAATTATACGATTGCTATATCTCTTGTTCTGGTCGAGACAGGACATGACTGCTTTAACTCAGCTATATCTTGAAATCCAGGACGAAGCCTCTTCGTGTCGTCTGGAATCGAACACCGTCGAACCCATCGTATTCCTATGTTTTCTATATTACTTCAGTTCTATCCAGCTTGGGACCCTGGCCCAAATTACTTTCACACCCGAAGTAATGCTGAAGATGAGATTCGGTCTCGCATTCGCAAGTTTGCGCAGGGCTGGCCCCATTCCCTCGTCTATCCGTCCGTAAGTATAGTTCAACAGTCCAGTCCACGACAAACTCAGTTCCCGCAGATTGGGTACCCATTCTGGATGCTCAGCGAGGGCCTCGAAATCGACTGGCCAGGGGTTTCGTAGATTTCCGGATAACTTTATGCTAAGGAGTGAAGGACACGAAGACATAAGTGCGAACAGGACGCTAAGACTGCGGCAATGGTCTAAGTGAGCGGACTGTAAACCGGGACAGTGGTGGATGAGATGAACCAGACTTTGCTCTGTGTGAAGTTTAGCTGTCTTGTGTCTTTTTTCTTCTTCTTCTTTAGTGTAGTTATAAAATCGAGGTGTTACTGGGTACGCTATCAGCACAGCTGCTTCTTGTAGAACATCAGGTAAAATTTCCGACTTACGTACCTTCAGAGTAAATATGCTTTATCCTTCCGTTCATTTCCACTGCCATGAGAGCGTCGTCGTCCATGCTTCAAGGTGTTAGCGGAATTTTTACCAAGAAAGACACGTCGAATCCTTTTGACTTACAAGCCTACATCGAGCTGTCGTTCCGGCCCACACCGATCGCATCTTATGCTCCTATCGTCGAATTCATTATGGCATTCCGGTTCCATAGCTGTGTGATCCTCGAGTGGAAGATGAATTGGTTTCCGCCATGTTTGGACATCAGTCAGAAGTGTAGCGGCGCAATCGCGCCCGCATAGACATCCACGGATATCATAGTCTCTTTCAAAGCCTTTCCTATCAACGTCAGAGCCATAAACCTCGCCTTTGCTTTCTTCAAGTACAGTGGACGCTATTGGTAGACTGGCAGGAGGAGACGGCGGTGAATCGCGGGTCCGTGTTGAGCATGACCGCGTCTTCACGCAACAGGATCGATTGGATATCTTCTTGCGCAGAGGTAGCTTTGGAGTTATCGCTATCACTGCCTTTGTAGCGGCTGCTAAAGCTTCGTCTCGTGAGACTACGGGGAAGCCTAGTTTGGCGTAGTTGCGTTTTGGAGTTACGTCCGTATTCTGCGTGCGAGCTGGCGGCATAACTGCCAGAAGGAAAGTGAAGACTAACAATATCGAGCACAGGGTGGAAGGTTTCGGATATCTCACCTTTTATATTGTGTTCGTGTCGACGCGTCTCTAGCGCGCTCCGCATCGCGCCGTCTTGTCCCTACGGCTGACACTCGGTGAGACTCACCAACCTCCCAATTCTCTGACACATGTAGTGATGCGCTATTTTGTAAGACTTTATTGGATTTGCTCTTCTTGGAAGTAGTGAGACTTTGTTGTAGGGAGCTTATCGTGTAAGACTTCAAAAGTTAGCTGGGCTCTAAGCCGTAAGCCTATTGTGCAGCGCATGTCCTCCGAACGCCTAGGCAGCTAGTGTGGTATACCGACGAGCTGACTACCTCCGAGGAAAGAACTGGGTGCAGCAATTTAAACCCTTGGAATTCTCCGCGGGAGTTGTTAGAACAGCTAATTATTATCTACGATATCAATGCAACTCGCTTAACCTACTGCAACCTCGAGATAAGCAATCCGTTTCTAGTCCTGTGAACCTATAAACATGTGTGTATCTTAGATAATTTGTTAGGTACAAGAAGCTACTTACCTAACGCAAGACGGGGTAAACTGAGACGAGTATGTGTGGCCGAGCGCGCCTAGATGTAGCTTAAGTAACAGTAGGAAGACTAGAAGACACCTTTCTCCCGTTCTTGTACGTATCGTGACTGGTCTCCAGATACCACGTATCCCACTTCTTGAATTGTGAACGGGTAACCAGCTCGATGGGTAGTGTCGGTCGCGTCCTTCCAAACTCTCGCAACGCACGCATGGGTTTTCTATTGTAAGAAAGGTCGTTGAGCCGTAGTTTCTTCAAGTTCGGCGCCCAATCTGGGTGAGCAATCCATTGCTCGAAAGTGACTTCTGTAACGCCAGAACCGGAAAATTCCAGATGGGTAAGGCTCTGACAGAACGAAATGAGATGGATCAAGCCTTGATCACCAAGTTCAGAACTCCTAGACCCGGGTAGAGATATCTTCTTTAGGTTTCTGCAAGCCTTAGCAAGAAGCTTGATACTCTCGTCCGTCACAAGACATTCTAGCGTCATGGTCAGGAATACGTCTACAGATGATTGCATCGTCATAGATTCGTACCGTTGTGAGCGCCGTAGTCAACATTCACGTATATGAGATGGATTTCCGTTAATGTGTCGTCGCGGCAGGGTGGCGAACCACGCTAGTCGCCAGCCACCCTCACGGAGACGTGCCTTCGCACTTCCTGCAACCGCGCATCACACGCTTCACATCAGTAACACGGCCATTGAGCAGATTTCCTACGGCTATGCTACGGTTTATATCGATTACACGCTCCAACACCCTGCAAATAGCCTGCAACCTGTCTCCCGGCCGCCGCCATGTCACTCTCTACGGATCGTCATCTCGTGGCTTCCTCAGCCGGAAGTATCAGAACTGTAAGATAGGATGCGGATGCTCAGATGTATTATATGTGCAGTTCACGGGGCTCTCAGTAATTCCTGCGCCAATCAAGCTCTTCTCCAGTATTTCCGCTGCCATCCTGGTGGGCGCAACAGCTATCAACACAGATACTGGAAGATGCCGCCCATGTTGTAAGTCTTCATATAGAACTTCAGCTGATGGTACAAGCTACTGTGGGGTGAAGGGATACGGAAGATTCGAAAAATCGATAGCTATATGGTGATGCTAAGAAGGTGTCGCTCATAAACATAAGCGCTCACAAACTGCAAACACACAGGGAGTGAAAGACTGAAGCCGCTTCTGACTCCGCTCACACTCCACCCTCGCACATTGGAGCCTACGCATGTGACCCCATCTCTACTAGCGCTAGTTTCGACGCTCACTGTCTTCCCACTCTGCCCCTCCACTTCCTGTTGTCTACGCATCTGAATTCTACTTCCACTACGACTCAGCTTCTACACATCTTTATCGGGCTCACCAAGCGATATGGCTAGCCAGGGCCCCAATCCAAGTGACAGCGGATCACTCCACGCGGCCATCGTTGGACATGTCGATAATCCTACACGCGATGAGGCTCCGGCAATGGCGTCGACAAGCTGCCGGCCCGGTGCGGACATGCAGTTTCTTGCCATCGCGACCGGCCAGATGTCACCTGAGGAGGCATATCCAACGGTTGAGAATACTGATAGAATGTATTGTCGAACACCTATCAGACTGGATAAATAGTTCACTGACAAAAGCAGGTGGCGCGCCCGACTCGTGAAGAACGCACGCAGGCACGTAACCATTGTCGCGAAACTGGGAAATGAGAGCGCGACTTGCACTCTACCACAGGATCTTGCTACAGGCGGTTCAGACGAGATTGGGAAGCAGGTCAGTTCAAACTCCGCGGAAAGCCATTCTTCCGCAATGCTACGCACGATAACATCGCGCTGTCTCGATAGCCTAAACTAACTACTCGACAGGTGGACGCTGCAGTAAACAGCCGCTGCGTGGTGACTATGCACGAATACGACTTCATTGTCGTTGAGATGATGATACAGCATATCCTCGACGTCGAATACCATCTAGACCATACCCAGAAGCTCGACAACTACAAGTTGACACATCTGAAGAAGGCCCAGCCTGGTATCGAAGACGATAGTATTACGGTACGGGTTGACGATACACCAACAGAGTTCCACCTCAAGGTATACCTTTGCGCGAGAAAGATGGACATGCCGGTGCTCTGGCCCATCGCTGCTACAAACTACCATAACTCCCTCGTCGAGAGCCAGCCCACCGCCGAAGAGTTCGCCAACATGCTGGAGAGAAACAAGTCGCACTTCGAGTCAGACTACACCAAAGGAGAACTCGTACACTTGATCGCGGGTGACGTGTCTGCTGATGGAGACGATGGCGAGGTCAACGATCACATGGAGCATGAGCTTCAAGGCTCACTCGTCATAGAGACAGAGTGAAGCTGGCATGGGAGCTGCTCAGTCAACTCACATTCAAGATACTTCTAGGTTTGGCGTTCAAGGTCTGGCGTTCACAGGTGGTGCTCCTGGCAATGATACTTGGGGAAATGGGTTCCTGTAGCGCAGATACAATGAAGCGGGCAATGTATTTCGCTTGAGACAGGGCATTTCAATGATGACAATCGGAGCGCGAACACGTTCAATCAGGATTCGTGACGCATATCGCTGCACACACATTACTAAATGTTAATAGACACTTCTTAAGACAACGTATCCTTCTACCTTGATTTTAGACTTGTAGTGTGTGACACGGGTTGCGGCCGCCCCTAGTGACGGCGCCGCCAGGATACGTCGGGGCCGTTGTGGGGCGCTCCTCCGCGGCGTACCGACCTCACCCAATGCTTCAAACTTCCTTCCTCCGTCACCTTATCATCCATCGCATTCCACACTGTATCGCATAATATTCGGATGGCACGTTTCATTACGACTGTGTCTCTTCCGAAGTTTCCCAAAGACTGTCCCGTCTAGTAGACAGTCTTACATTTCATGCCCTTGCGTGGTTCCGCCCTGTACATGAGCTCCATTAACGAAGCGGCGAACAAGCATCGCCATACTACTCTCCACGTACACAAAATACGAGAATATTAGGCTCAGTACCATTTCGCTGAAGACGTATTAGGGTACTCGACCTCAACCTCTCATCGCCTCCTCTTCCGCTTGTTACCGATCTTGACTTTCTCCGGCAGCTTCAAGATGTCTCTGTATGTATCAACAGCCATGCGGAGCTCTTCACGGAACTCCTTCTTCTCCTGAGTAGCGTTCTCGAAGACTGCGACATCTTGCAGTGGCCATAGTCCTCTGTAGATATGACGCAAAGTACACGCCACGGCCATGTCTCGTAGTATGCCGGTCTGGTCCATGCAGATCTTGGTCGTCTCGTCTCCGGGAGAACCATAAATCCAGCTCAGTATTTTCAGCAGAAGCTCAACAGTCAGTCTGCTAGCCCACAGCATCGCCTCTGCAAGTTTCGCGTGCGCGACCGTCATGAGCTCCTGATACCTGAGCCGCTCCCCCATGTTGTACATCTTGAGGTGGAACTGGATGGATGAATCAAGCTGGACGGCCAAATCATCGCTTGATTTTCCCGGAGGCAAGTATGTAGCATGATGCAGGCTCCGCGCGCGGCCACCTTTGTCTAGTTGATAAGTGTTGGTGTATACGAAGTTGACAAAGCGATCGACCATGATAGCGCTGAAATCATTCTCGTTGAAGACGAGAGTGACCCGCGGGGGATTCTGCTCGTTCTGTCACATCCTTAGCAGGCATTAACGTTACTCGGAGTGGAGAGACATACTCCTGCTGGATGTAGATACTCTTCAATCGTCTCTGCGCCACCCAAAAGGAAAGCAGTGTGAACGTCGAACTGAACGCCGTCGCAAATGAAAGTCAAGTCGCAACCCTGGCGCTTCGATAGCACTGCTTTGCCTCGCATATTGTTTGGATTAGTGCTCACCCTGAAAGGCAGACTGATCTGGACTTACTTGGCCTGCGAACGGGTCGGGAGCAATGGCTTGCTGAAGCCGACAAACAGTTGCTTCACCAAGTTGTCCAGAGATTTTGGGTCGACCGATATGTTCTCCTAATGAAGTCAGACTCGAGTGGATTGTACGACGTGGCGACAGAGCTGTGTGCTTACCATCTTCAGGAAGGTTCTTTAGCTGCTGGTGGGTGATTTAAGAGAGCTTTGGACGCTATCACTATAATACGAGAAGAGCTAGGGAGGATTAGCTTCCGTCTCCGCGCTGGGCTGTTTGCTCCCTTTCGTATGACGCAATCTGGGGGGAATCGCGAGCAAAAAAAGAGAGCGTAGGTTTATCTCGGGATCGAACACAGGCAAAAATAAAGTCACCTCTCACCAAACAGCTAAGTGAATTGTCAAGCCGAAACTTGGAACGATAACACGCATAATCAACCACCGAACCGCGCAACTTGGTATATGTCAGAACTTATCTCATTATAGACACGTCCAACACAAGATCAACCCGCGTCGAATGTGTTGGCCCACTGATCAGTGAGGGTGGAGTGAAGGGAACGCAAAGCTACGACACTGAGCAGAATACGTCATTCTGGACCGTCACGTTCGCCGCCATTCCTTACTGTTCTAGGAGTCAGGCAGACGACGCTGGCTAGGCAACCACAGCACAATAATATTCATAGTGCGTGATTGCGCCATTCTGCAGCCAATTCGACTTCTGTCTAGACCAGCTCTCTTCGCCCCCCACCACACACATCTAGAGCAACTGCCTTTGATGTCTCAACAACCAGCGGAATTAGACGCGCTTCAATCCACGATGTCTATAGCACAGCAGCCACAAACCGCCGCCTTGCAAGATGGCGAGCTGACCACCGGAACCAATTCGGCTGACATTGGCTATGTTGATCATTTGCTCGGTAAACTGTCCGTCGAGAAGCTGGACTTTGGCGATCATGAGATCTTCGAAACGTAAAATAGCCTCTCGTCTTTCGTACAGTGAAGTATTCCGACTGACTTTCCGACAGCGCACGCGATCAAGACCGCCGTAACCTTGAGTGTGGCTTATCACTCCCTTCTTCCGATGCGGTAACAAGTTTCACTGTCAACAAGGACTTGGCAGTATCAAGGTCCATCTGGATACACACTAATGTAAGTTCTTAGCAATGTGGTCTGGGAAAACGTTGTCCCGCGCTTCCCACTTGATATTCTAGACATAATTTGGATGGGTCAAAACGCGTCTAGAATTGTCTCTGTCTCTCCTCTCCTGATTTCATGGGGGGTCATCATTTGACTATTGGGCTAATTAAACTAAAGATCGACAACCTCGCTGAGATCCCCACCAAGCAGTACAGTCCGGCTGTTGTCAAGATTGTTGCCAGTTCCATCATCGGTATCAAGTACAGCCTCGCCGATGAAGATGTTCCGAGCGGCACAACGGCAACCGCGATGCATCTGCAGCTATATCTCTGCGCGACTGAGATGGGTATGGAGTGCCTCGAAAAGTTCGCATTCAAGTTCTTCAGGAATGCCCTTACTAAAGATGGATCGACACCCGAAGGGCTCAGAAGCTTGGTCGAGCATCACAAGCTGTTCACTGTGGATTTCTGTCAGAAGGCATTCACACTACCTCAGTACGAAAAGGTCATGTGTACTTTTGCAACCCACATCATTGTGTATGAAGACGTCTTCGACGGAAGCAGCTTCTATAGTGGACTGCCAGTGGTTACAGCAGGATACTTGCTCAGATACCTGCACAAAGTCAAGACAAACGTCAAGCTGAGGCTCGAAGCTCACAAGAAGGGTTTAGTTGGCGTGAATAAGGCACATCGACGTCGTGCTTCGCGGGAGCTCCACGGTCGAGGTCCTAGCTCGCGTCGTCTCATCGACGATGTAACGCTTACACCATCTCACATACCCTCGGCTGCGTCGGCTTTCGAACAGCTTGACGGTCGCCGCCTTCTTGAGCAAAGCGTCGACGGAAGTTCCCTCACACCCCGCGCCGGACGGTACCAGCATCAAAATCGCTTACTGCCGAGCGGCGACTCGCGATTCCGGGAGCTAGATGAAGAGGACGATGAAGCCTTCAACCCACCCTTCGCATCCCTTAGCCCGATCCGTCCCGTGAAGGGTGGCACCGACCGGGAGATAGAACATGATGAAGTTCTTATCGAGGACGGTACCGATGCCGACATGACCTTCGTCACAGCCAGCCAAGGCGTCATCTCGTCTGACAATGGGGGACAGCCTCAGCCACCTCCTCCTCCTCAAGCTGGCGGCAACGTCGCAGCGGAGCCAAAGGATACAACCATGCATGATCCCCCTCAGTCGGCAAAGAAGGATACGACCAAGGTCGACCCTTCGCAATCGGCAAAGGATATCACCATGCTCGAAGCCCCGGAGTCGGAAAAGAAGGACACGACTATGGTCGACCCCCCGAAGTCTGCAAAAAAGGACACGACCATGATAAACAACACCACGATGGGCATAGGTAGTCCTGGACCTGGCTCCTGATTGTTTGTTGGAGGATAACATAAGCCGCTGTAGCCTTTTGTAGTCCATACGCGCTCATTCGAGCATGGGTACAACGAGGCTATAGTCTCCAAAGCCCACCATCCCTTTTGTTTCATGACTCTGCTTCTAACGGAGATCCTCTAGGCATAGGCGTTCATAGATGGTCTGTTTCGCGATGATACCCGGAAGGAAAGCAGGAGTATGGCGTTGGAGTAGTAATACACATCCAATGAAACATCTTGAAACTCATCACGCTGCTCCATCACGATCCCCATAACCCTCTCAATATATCTGTCTGCTACCAGCATACCCACAATATCATTATTTATTCCTGTTCTAGCATCGCAACACAACTCCTCAACAACGCCATCAACCGTAGCTGTATGCTCCGTCCGGCAGGTGTATCCGCATGCTTACCAGCACCCCAGCCGAATGGCAGCACCAGTCTTCTTCTGCCCTTCTTATCCAGCACGACTAGTGCATCCAATGGGAACTTGCCTCCACCGAGTGGATGTAGTAGGCCCAGGCGGACGAAGTGGTTGTTCGAGGGTGTCGCGGCTTGAATGAGGGGCAGCGAGAAGGGCGCGGAAGAGGGGAGTCTATGTGTTGATGGGTCGTGGCAGAGGACGAAGGGCTGTAGAGAGGGCGAGAACGCGTAGAGGTCTGGTAGAGCGGAGCTGTAGGTTGTTAGTAGTGGTTTGAAATGGTCCAGGATGATCTTACCAAAGCAGGTCGTAATGGACCTGGACGTTCCCTTGCACACATAAAACAACTATTGACGCCCGCCTCTTATACCTTGCCCAGTTATCATGCGCTTCCAGCATACTGCCTACAGGAGTCGCGAGCGTACTGCTACCCAGTATCGCATCCACATCCACGCTCCAGGCTTCCTCGGGGCTTATAATATCTAGCTCTTCCAATTCGCACTGCGTCTTCGACCTCTTCAGCGCATCGCCCAATGGCGGCAGAGCCGGCGACGGCTCCCTCCTCCGCTGGACCTCGTCCTCGTCCTCGTCAACGGTCAGGCGCGAGCGTTTGCGGCTAAGTGCCACATCCATGGTCCAGCTGTCGTGCGTAAGTAAGTCACCCATCTACGGCGTCACGTCATACATGCGTTGTGGGTGGAGAAGAAGACACGACCAGCGCCCATCTTCCTACGACAGTCGGTCTGGGGTTGTCGCAGAGACGCACGCACGAGCGAAAAGACCCAGGGTTTCCTGCACGTCAGGCCCAAGCTCCCCCTGCATACCCCGCCATCAACGCGCCTTCCGCCTTGCCTGCGCAGCGACCTACCCCACTATCCATCAGCTCAGCTGCGCCTAGGCTACCAGAACGGCGGCTGGCGAATCTGCCATCTCGGATGCTTCGCGCCCATGGCTGAGAGAGACGTTGCGAGTAGACTGCGCCAGAGCACTTGGAACGGGAGTATTCCGCTCGAGATACGCCTGCACAAGGGCGACTGTCGCACGTACGACGAGTCGGATCCTTACTTAGTACGTGCAGTGTCGACATAGTCTGGCGATGATACATCGGATGTGCTATGGCTGACTAGAGGTAGATACAGTTTCCACGGATATCGTATCTCGGGCTGCTCATACACAAACTACATGCCTTCTTCGCACGCAGCCTCATCTACCCAGATGTCACGCCTAAAGACGCATGGTTATCCTACGAAGACGTGCCGCTGAAATGGCATTATCCACTGGGTCTCCTCTACGACCTCTACTCTGGCGCTGAGCCCGCGTATCCTTCAGACACGGATACAGAAGCTGAGGAAGCGCACAAGATCGAGAGTACAGAGGAAGAGCGTCAACATTTACCATGGCGACTCACAGTACACTTCTCCGACTTCCCGTCCGAGCAGCTTGTTCAGCTTGATAACGACGACAAGCATATGCACGATCTGTTCATCCACAGCGTGAAGGAGGCCGACTACCTCAGGACAGGAACAGGAAAGACAGTCATGTTTCTAAGCAAAGAAGACAGCACGCAGCTCTGGAGCGGAGTGAAGAACCACGACTTTGCGGTGTACAACCCCATCAACCAGAAGCTGCTGAACCCGCAAGGAGTCAACCTGAGACATCTACCAGTGCGGCTCTATCTCCCACACGCGTCGTCGGAAGGGGTGCAAGAAGAGACGGCACCCGGGAGTTTGAGAGTAGTGCAGAGGCTGGTGACGCCGAACCTGTCGTCTAGTACGTGTAATTGCGGTGTAGGTGTGGAAGGCGCTGACCGCAGACAGGGCAACCACAGACCATCGGGACAGCACTGAACGCGATATTGCCGACACTATTTCCGAGCAGACGCAGTCCGCTGCTGGCGCAGGCCGTGTTGCACGGAGCGGTGCTGCCGCTGAGCGCGAGTGTGGAGGAGCTGGTGCGCGCGACGGCATATCTCGATGGCTGGTTGCACATTGCGGTGGTTATGATGGGCTGAATAAGGATTTATGCCTGCGCGACGGCGGTCACATGGGAGCCGAGTCATGTGGCGACGCTATTCCACGATCCCGGATAGCAACAATATTGGCAGTACGGGCAGCGTCGCGATAGCGGACGCGGCAACACAACTCAGACGTTCCAAGGCGCGCGTGCAGCTCGCGACACTTGCTTCTGCTGATGGTGCCTGTGACATGGTGATGCTCTGCAGCGTTTCAAAGGCCGTGTAGGGCTCGTGTGCCATGCTTCGCCAAGATGCGGGGGCACAGGCACAGCAGAAGCTTAGTGAGGATCCCGGCAGCAAGCTACCAAGGCCACCCCACGCGTCTCCAGTCTGCCTGGGCGCTATCGGCGTAGCGCGTCGCCCTGTCGACGCGAAGCCAGCGTCTGGAAATGAGGCATTATTGACGTGCGTTGTTTTTGGCTCCGGTGCGCTAGGCCTGCTGTTGCCCGGTTGATGCTGCCCACGGTTCGGCTGGTGTCAAACGGCCCTGGCGAGATATCGGAGGGTGCAGTGGGTTCGCGCCGCCTTCATCAGTCATGGACGATAAGCAATGGGCGATGACATCGATGCTGCTTCTGCCGCACAAGAACGGTTTAGAGGTGGCAGGGGTACTGGCTGAGTGGAGCCGACGAGTAGCGTCAGCGGCTTGCAGCGCCAGACGCACCTGGGCAACTGTGTGGAGGCGCGAGCGAGAGGTTCATGGGGAGTGCTGGGAGTGCTACGGTGGATGGCTTGGTATCAACGACCGGTGAAGCTCCAAAGCGGCTCTTCTTGTGACAGGCAACTAGCAGATAGTGACTCAATATCACTACACGTGCAGTCTCATCCCCGAACGTGAGTATCTCCGACGTGAGGCTGCGATCGTCGGCTCATCTACGACGAAATGATGGCATGTCGCGCCATTGGCTGCACTGGGTAGCTCCCTCCTAGCTCCCTCAACCCTCGCGGGTGGTTGCTAGGCCCGACCCAACCTTCATCTACTCTTCACGCTGCTCCTCGCCCCGAATCTCCAACATCCCCCAGCGCCCACTATCCATTACCCACTCGGACGAGCCTCAGACGTAAGTACCGCTCCCTACTCCCTCCCTCCAGGCCCGCGCCCATTCCCCGGCCGAAGCGACGCTGCACCCACCCTTGCAAGCTTGGAGCCTCCCGGACAACCCGCTAGGACCCGGGGCCAAACAAAATGCCTCATCAACTGTGCAGAAATTTTCGGCGAGCCGGCGCATTTAAAAGCGGACATTCACCCTCTTGCTATTAAGAGCTTTTTCGTTCTCACTCTTTGATGCTGCATCGCTGTCGACCTGCGCCTTTCAATTAAACATCGCCGAGTCCCTCTGCCTAGCGACCGTTTCCGTGGGTTTGATCCGATCGCGCTGACCAGCTTCCGTTGCCATCAACAGCCAAAACAAAGCTTCCCTCAGCTCGATATTCAAACAGTGGACCGATTCAATTCGTAAATGTAAGCTCAATGCCGCCTTGTTCTGGAGCTGCCGGGGAGAGTTCGCGTCACGTTGTCGCATCCTGTCGCGTCGTGTCGCATCGCATCGCATCACCGCCATCGGGACCAGTCTCGCGACAAGCCTTGGCCGAAGATCGTCACGCTCGAGACGTCTCTTGGGAGTGAATCGCACGCGCCCAATGCGCCTGGCCTGTGCTCCTCAAGCTCCGGGAATCCTTCCAGGTCTTCACAGCTGCTCAACCGAACAACCTTTCTAACATCTCCACCCCAGAAACCCACAAACAAACACAATGGCCGCCATCAGCATGCCCATCGCCGCTCGCGCCGAGTACGCTCTCCACCAGCTCGCCAAGCGCGACAAGAACTGGGCCCAGCGTGAGCCCGGTGTCATTGTCGTCTTCGTCATTGTTTTCCTCGTCGCCATCCTCGTCATTGCCATGTTCATCAACAAGAAGGTACGTTTTCCCAACCACCCCAACCACCCAATTCTTTCCCCATACAGCCGCCTAACACCCACCACAGAGGCAAGCTGGCAAAGGCATGGCATAAGATACCCCCTTTGATTCGAAGTTGGAGCGAAGCCGAGCAGTACGATTTCAAGGCGGACAAGACATGACCCCCGATACGAAAGTCATAAGAGCTGTTATGTGGACCGGGCAAAGAGCTTGTGTATAATGTGTTTGAATATTCGCGTATAGGATAACTCGGGCTGACCCTGCTGGGGAGGCACTGTGGTGCGAATGCCTCTTTGAGAGGGCTTCGTGGTAATAATGAACAAGTCAAATACCCATTAAGAAACTGTCGCGTTGTATTACATTGAATTGGATCGAATTGTTAACGTAGGAGATGACTCGGAGCTGCACTAATAGCGTCGACAGCGCGTCTAACAATAAATCTGGCATCGACCAAATTACTCTGAGCGCCACATTATCTATGCGAAGAAAGCTTCATCTCATCGTCTTGCTTCGTCCATGCAGGCCGTTGACAATTGCCTCGTCACCGCCGTCATGCTTCTTCTAGCTCGCCTCGCTAAAGCATCTGCGAACCCAAGTTCAGTCTTGCTGCATGCTTTACTGCAGAACAGGCTAGCACATACCGG